CCTCTCACCGCTAAGTCCTCTCAGCCCTGGTTCCAACCGCAGCGGTCCAGCGAGCTCTCCCAAAAGAGAATCGCTAACATTTTTTGGTCCTTCGAGCCGGATTGCGGCGGGGCTCTCGGACGGATTAGCTCAACTACGCAGTGATCACGTGATCTCACGGCCCTTTCGCGTGATCGGTGGCGCGCACATACATACACGGTCACACTCGTTGCTCACGCGATCTCACGATCCTCTCACGTGACTCTCATCGGTATAATCTCTCTCTCATCGGCCGGCGAGACTTCTCACCCCTTCGCTCTCTCACCATGGCGGACGAGACGAAGACGGGCAAGACGGAACGCCCGAAAACCCCGGGGTTGGAGGTGCCTCCGGGAGACCGCACGTCGGGAAGGACATCGTCTCCTGCCCGGCTTCCAACGGAGCTCGCGCTCAAGGTGCAGACACAGATGGGCCGGATTGCTGCACTCAGGGAGTTCACAGAATCCCTGCCGGATGTCCCAGCGGAGACATCGAACGAGGAGGTCTCGCAGATCCAGCAGCTGATCGAGGAGACGCACAAGGCGTTCGTGAAGGAGCACGCCTATTTCGAGGTGTCATGGCCTACTACGCTTACTCACCATGAGTACTTCGCTGAGAACGCTCACCAGACTGAGTTGCGATGCTACATGCAGGCGCGACGGATCATTGGCGAGCTTCGCCACGCATTGGCAGCTCAGCCCGCTCAACCGCAGACCAGCTCATCGACCGGCGAGACAAGACAGACGCACTCACGCTTGCCGGACATCTCACTCCCGAAGTTTAACGGGGAGTATTCCGCGTGGCCTGCTTTCAGAGACCTGTTCACCAGCCTGATCATGCAGAACGAGCAACTCACGAACGTGGAGAGGCTCCATTACCTCCGTTCGTCGGTGGAAGGCACGCCTGCTCAACTGATCGCAGGATTTACCATGTCCGGAGACTCACTCACGCCGTCCTGGGAGTTACTCAAGGACAGGTACGAGACCAAGCGCCTGCTCATCCATGCCTGCCTGGATAAATTATTCGCCAGCTCAACCCCGGTGCCAAGGAAGGCGGCGTCCTTGGATCGACTGGTCTCGGGAGTCAAGGAGGCGCTCAAGGGACTGGAGGCCCTCGAGGTGACAGACAAGCTCGGAGACTGCGCTGTGGTGTACCACGTCACGCGCCTCCTGGATCGCGCGACACGCGAGCAGTGGGAGAACTCTGTTGGCGCCACGCGCGACTATCCCAAATTCACGAAGCTCGAGGAGTTTCTTACGACTCGTATGCGGGCGCTCGAGCGGATAGAGAGTACGACGGCTCAACCTGGTTCCAGCTCAGCACCTCCACCAACGAAGAAGACGGCTGCTCATCAGTCTGCTCATCAGGTCGATACATCATACCCGTGCGACTGCTGCAGAGCGCAGCATTTCATAGTGATGTGTAGTAAATTCCGGGCGCTACCACCATCCGAGCGGCACACGGTGGCGATACAGAAGCGGTTGTGCTTCAATTGCCTGGGGCGTCATAGTGTGCGCGCATGTAAGTCTCAGCGAGGCTGTAAGACCTGCTCAGGGCGGCACCATACCATGCTGCACGGCACACAGACAACCGCATCGTCAGCTCAAAAGGCCGGTGGTTCATCGGGCACGCCCGCAAATTGAAGAGTCGGTGCAGTCGTCGAGACCAACTCACACGTCCGCTCATCCTGCTCGATTCTACTCGCCACAGCCTTGGCACTGGTCAGTTCATCGTCAACACATCACTCAGCGCGTCTGCTCATTGACTCAGGATCCGAACTCTCCTTCGTCACGGAGAATCTCATTCGGCAGCTCAACATCCCTCGTCAATACTCCGGTATTGTCATCACTGGAATTGCAGGCAAGGAGTGTACTCGAGGACACGAGGAGTCGTGTCACTCACGTTACGCTCGACACATTCCAACGCAGCTGCCACAATTCAAGCTCACGTCCTCCGGACAGTTACATCAATCTTACCATCGTTCGAGGCGGAACCGGAAGAATGGCCGCATCTCAGGAACTTGGCATTAGCCGATCCTGATTTTCTCATCCCACGGCCAGTTGACATCCTCATCGGCGCACACGCTTACGGGCAAATCATCAAGCCCAATATCATTCGGCATTCTCCACTCATGCCGATAGCGCAACTCTCCATTTTCGGATGGCTCGTTCTTGGACCAGTCAATAGGGAAGCAACACGCACATCAACGCACCATGCTTCTACTCAAGTCAACGAGGATGCTCTCAACGAGTTACTGACAAGATTTTGGGTTCAAGAGGAGGTGCCTACTCACGATGTCAACCAACTCACTCCTGACGAGCAGAGGTGCGAAGAGCACTTCAAGGCCACACACTCTCGTGATTCTTCAGGGAGGTACGTCGTCAGGATTCCGCTCAAATCACCAGTATATCTTCTGGGTGATTCGTACCACGTCGCCCATCAGTGCCTCAAGGGACTTCGCAGACGATTCTCAAGGGATGTGAACTATCAACGTCTCTATCAACAATTTATGATGGATTACGAGACGCTCAACCACATGACGAAGGCATTATCCATCTCCAGTCGTCGCTCACACTTCTACCTGCCACATCACGGTGTTCTCAAGCCTGACAGCACAACAACAAAGCTGCGAGTCGTATTTAATGGCTCCAGCGCATCCACATCGGGCTACTCTGCTAACGACCTTATGTATACGGGAGCGAAGTTGCATCTGAATATCTCAGATGTTCTCCTCTGGATACGAAGACACCGTCACATTTTCGCTACGGATATCACCAAGATGTACAGGCAGATCAAAATTCACAAGGATGACTGGGAGTTGCAACGGATACTCTGGATGGACGATCAACTCAATGAGGTGCCCTACCATCTGACAACCGTCACCTACGGGACAAAGGCCGCGCCGTTCTTGGCGGTCAGGACGCTGCTACAACTAGCAGAGGACGAAGGACATAAATATCCACTGGCTGTGCCATCCATCACTCATGGCAGGTATGTCGATGACATATTTGGTGGTGCAGATACGATTCAACAATTGCAGGAGGTCGCACATCAACTAAAGGGCCTCTGCATGGCGGGCGGCTTCCCACTAGCAAAATGGCATGCAACTCATCTCGACATACTCAAGACTGTCACCGACAGCGAAGACCAAGGCTTACCAATCACATTCGACGATTGCGCAACCAAGATACTCGGACTCAAATGGCTCCCTCAAGAAGATACCTTTGCATTCTCAACGCGAAGCTCACGCAAGGAAGGCAGGCTCACAAAACGCCTCGTATTATCTGATGTGGCTCAGATATTCGATCCACTTGGTTTTGCATCACCCGTCGTGATCAAGGCCAAAATTCTCTTGCAGGAGCTGTGGCTGCACAAGCTCCAATGGGATGATCCACTGCCATCCCAGCTCTCAACCCGGTGGCTCTCCATCAGAGAAGAACTCACAAGTCTGGCCAGACTCTCAATACCTCGGTGGCTCAACACATGGAGCGACTCGCAAGTGGAACTTCATGGATTCTCTGATGCTTCTCAATTGGCAATGGCTGCAGTCATATACATCTCCGTTCACGACTCAAACGGCGCCACGTTCTCACTTGTGTGCTCCAAGACTAAGGTGGCACCTCTCAAGCGGCTCTCAATCCCGCGACTTGAACTCACGGCTGCTCTTCTGCTCTCTCGGCTCATGCAATACGTCACAGCCACGTTGAACATGGACGTAACGGCAACTCATATGTGGACGGACTCTCTAGTGACACTCTCGTGGATCAGATCTCATGCATCACGCTGGAAGGATTTTGTCAGGAACAGGGTGGTTCAAATTCAAGAACTCACTCCAGCTGCTCACTGGAGATACATACCTGGAACTTCCAATCCGGCTGATTGCGCATCACGAGGCCTCACGACTGCTCAGCTTCAGAACCACGCACTTTGGTGGACGGGACCACCATGGATACTCAAGCCAGACTCATGGCCGTCGCAACCAGCACTCTCTGACGAGATGAGTGCAACGGAAGCTCGCCCAGGCGTTGCGCTATTGACGGTTACGCCAAGGACTGAATATCAATGGGAACTCATCTACAGGTACTCAAGCCTCACTAAACTATTGAGGATTACAGCTCTCTGTTTCAGATTCGTTTCACGGTTGAGGAAAGTCCACGACTCATTTCCTGTCAGACACATCTCTCCAGAGACCTTGGAGAAAGCGAGGCTCTTCTGGATTCAGGCAACTCAAGCAACGTACTTCTCGCACGAGCTCAAGGCATTACAGGCAGACTCACCGTTGGCAATGGCGCACGCATTCAACAGATTGACTGCGTACATCGACGCTCAAGGAGTCATTCGCGTCGGCGGACGACTCGCTCACGCAGCTCTCTCATTCGACGCGATACATCCTGTTATATTGCCTCGCCACTCTCAGCTGTCGTCATTGATCATCGCTCACGCTCATCAACGGACTCTACATGGAAGCACGCAGCTTACGCTGTCATACATCCGACAACAATACTGGATTCTCGGCGGGAGGGCTCCTGTCAAGTCTCACATCCTGCGGTGTGTCACGTGTGCTCGGCAGAGGGGGATCCGTGCTCATCAATTGATGGGCCAACTACCTCTCTCTCGAGTTACGCAGGCACGACCATTCACTCATACAGGTGTGGACTACGCAGGGCCGCTCACCGTCAAAGCGTGGAAAGGAAGAGGTGCCAAAACAACTAAAGGCTGGATTTGCGTTTTTGTCTGCTTCTCAACCTCAGCAGTACACCTTGAGGCGGTCAGTGACTACTCAACGGAGGGATTCATTGCCGCCTATCGACGCTTCTCATCCAGACGCGGCATTGCTCACACCCTACACTCCGACTGCGGCACCAATTTCGTCGGAGCGGATGCAGCTCTCAAAAGGCTGTTCATCCAGAGCACTCAAGAACATCAGCAAGTCTCTCACCTGCTCTCGCAAGATAACACCCGATGGGAATTTAATCCCCCAGCGACACCTCACATGGGAGGAAAATGGGAGGCCGTCTTGAAATCCATCAAGTATCACCTACGCCGGACCATTGGAGAAAGCGTGCTCACCTTTGAGGAGCTCACCACATTGCTCACTCAAATTGAGGCAATTCTCAATTCGCGCCCTCTCGAACCATTGAGTGACGACGCGGACGACATCTCAGCACTCACGCCAGGCCACTTCCTCGTAGGAAGTCCGCTCACCGCCATACCAGAGCCCTCACTCACCGACCTGGCAATCTCAAGACTCTCTCGATGGCAGCTCATCCAGCAGAAGGCACAACATTTTTGGGCACACTGGGCAGCGCATTACCTACAACGACAACAAGCCATCTCCAAGTGGCACCACAGGAACAACGAAATCAAGGTCGGGTCATTGGTGCTCATCACCGACGAGCGGCTACCGCCATGTAAATGGCCGCTAGCCCGGATCACGGCTCTACATCCTGGGAAGGATGGTCTCGTCCGGGTGGTGACTCTGAAGACAGCCACTACCACTCTCATCCGACCAGTGGTCAAGCTCGCCGTCCTGCCAATCTCATCATAACATCAAGGATCATCAACCACGTTGCTATGGCGGGCGGAATGTTCGAGATTCATTTCCGAATCTCGGTCTGTTCGTCACCGGCGTGATGGCAGCATCAGCT